GCCGGCCCGGGAGGCGCGCCGCTGGCGCGGGAGCAGCAGCCGCCAGAGGCGGTGCCCGAGGCGGCCGTGCGCTTGCGGGGAGGGCCGATTTCTGCGTGCGACGCCGCTTATGCTGCCGCCTCCGCCTCCCAGGTCTCCTACAGTCTGATTGCTTGTGAATCCCGGCTTGTTCCCTCGGTTCCGGCCCCTGGGGCCTGCCATCAGGCTCTCGGAGATGTTGTCGGTTCGGTCAGCGGTGGCGTGGGGCACGCGGCGTCGAGCAGCAGGACGCGACAGAGCCGGTCACGTACGCACTGAAATTGGAGTTTGCCGCCCTTTTCTCGCGCACCTTCCACTCCTCGTCCCTATGCTCGTCCTCTTTCTCCGCTTCCTCGCTCTTGCCGCTTCCGCGCATGGCCCCCCCTTCCATCCACCACCTCCTGCCCCTCCTCCTCCTCCTGCTCCCTGTTGGGCCCTCGACGGGGTTCTGGCCCAAGCCCAACATACACAGCGATAGTATCGCGTCAAACCTGTAGCCATCACCGGGTCGGACGCCTGGGAGAGCTCGCGCACGCACGGCAGGGCCGATTGGGGCACGGCTGACCCCGTGCACGGGCCAACGGCGATGTAGGCTTCGGTAGTGTGGGAACGGTAGTGTAGGTTTCGGTAGTTTCGGCGCGTCCCTGCAATTCGCTGTGCCGCGCTCGCTCGATGCATTCGCAGGTCGGAAATGCAGGAAAGCGTGGCTCGTGACTTCCTGCACCGTCGCCGCCAGCCCGGCCCTGGTGGCCAGACGCTCCGAACGGGCCTCCTGCGGCTGCCGGCTGCCCACGGTGCGCGCGGGAGCCGCAGCGCGCGCGCGGCGGCTCCGGCAGATCCCCCCGCGCACCGTGGCGGACACCGTCGGCCCGGCGGCCCCGCCTCCTCGGGGCGCCGGCGTGCCGGCCTCGGCCGAGGTCTCCGGGGCCCCCGAGGCGCCCAGGCCTCCGTGCCCCCCCCTCTCCCCCGCGTCTCGAGGCCCCCCCCCCCCCCCCCCGCGGCGGGGCCAGGCCAGTGGCCTCGGCATCGTTCCGGCGTGTGCCCGTTTGTTCGCGGCGAGGACCGCCGAAGCGCAGCCTGGGTCATCGTGCGGAGCAGGAGCGCGCCGGGGACTGGACTGGACGTCCGAGCGATGGTGGGTGGCGAGTGTAGTGACCCTGCGGATAGTGGAGCGCGCTTGTCTATCCTCGGCGGCGGGCTGGCGGAAGGGCGGAGGGCGGCGGCGGGCCCGCCTGCGGAAGCCGCCGGAAGTTGGAGCCGTCCGGGGGTCCGAGGTGGTCCGGCATCGGTGCTGGCCAGCAGGAAGGGCGCGGGCGGCTTCGAGGTTTTCCGTGTTCGGGGAGGCGTGTTGCTTCCTCCGGCCTCCAGGGGGCCGTGCTCAGGTCCCGGGACCGCCAGCGAGCGGATCCAGGGCGAAGAAGTGCACCAGGTGGACCCCAGGAGGGGTCTGGGGGCGGATTTGCAGCGGATTCGCTTGCATACGACCGATTTGTCTGGTGCCCCAAACAAGTCAGTTCCCGCGGCCGCCTCCTCCAGGGCGGAAGTAAGAGTCGATCGCACACACACACACACACACACACAAAAGACCTTGACCGCTGGATGCCGGAGCTTTCGGGAGGCGGCCGACGAGACCGGTCGTTGCCGATTGTGCTTCGGATTCGGGTATCGGCCGCGACCGAAAACAGAAGGCGGGGGCGTTGGTCAAGGAATATGCCCGGAGGTTTCAGGCCCTGGAAGATTCCTTATCTGGTGAGAGAGGCGGCGATGTCCACGGTAAAGCCTCAATTGGTGGTCCACCGGCTTCCAGACCCTGGATTCCTAATCCAAGGGTTCCTTATGCAATTCCGTCGCCGTATTGTATCCAGTGATCTTTTGGGATTCGGCGAGATGGGAGCTGGGATCGGAGAGTTGGGTGTCGGAGTCGAACAATTAGGAGATTGAGTCGGAGAGCTGGGAACCGGAAGCGGAGACATGGGAGTTGGAATCGGTTGGGAGCCGGTGTCGGGGAGACGGGCGTCGGAGTCGGAAAATTGGGAGTTGCACTCCAACTCTTCCGGAGGTATGCTCGTTTGGGGATTCTGGGTTGCCGGAGCTGGCCACATCGGCGAGCGGGAGGGAGCGGCCGGCGGAGGCGGAGGCGCAGCTGGCAGCCGATTTGGAGGAGCTGCGCCTCAACCGCGGCGCTGAAGGCCCAGCCCGGGCAGTAGTCAACGCTGGGTGCATGACGCCGAAGCAGGGGACGGAGGAGGAGAAGAAGGTAATCGAGGAGGAGGAGGAGGAGGAGGAGGAGATGCATCCCGCACCCTCACCTCCTCTCCCCTTCCGCATTCCCCTCCACCTCGCATTCCCTGCACCCTCTCTCTTTTCCGCCTCTCGCCCCTCCCCACCCGTCTCTTCGCCCGCCCTCCCTCCCAACGCCCCCCCTCCCCTCTCACTCTCGCTCCATCCTCTCCCCTCCCTTCCCAATGTCCCCCCCTTCACTCTCGTGCGCTACTTTCTCGTGCCATCCCCCAACCCCTCCCCATCTCTCCTGTCCTCCTTCCACCCCTGGACCTCTGCCGGGCTGCGCTCTGACCAGAACTTCGAGGCGAATCCAGCGGAGGCGACGAGGGCCTCCCAGGAGGCCCCAAAAAAGTGAAAACGAGGGAGGGGTAGCGGTATGGATACCTCCTCCTCTGAACTCTCTTGTCCTCACCCTCCGCTCACATCCCCTCGCTTTCCTCCCCACCTCCACGCCGCCCTGCAGCACCTGCACCCCCGCATCCCCCGCCGGCGAGGGCGGCGAGCCGAGGCCCGGGGATCGAGCGGAACGATGTTTTCGCGATCTCGTAGGCCGTTTTCGTTCCGGCCTCCTCTCGCAGCAGTGGCCGACCCACGACAGAGCAGGGGGAGCACCGAACAAAAACAAACCGAAGACGAAAAAGATTGCTCAGCTCGACCCCTGCCACGCGGCCCTGCACAGCACCCGCACCCCGCGCAGGCCCCCGCAGGGCCCGAAGAGCGGGGAGCCGATGCCTGCGCAAAGAGGCCCGTGCCGGCCCTGCCGCCGCTCCTTGTGACCCCAGCGAGCAGAGGCGCGCTGACTTCGCCAAACCCTGCCAGTGAGGCCCTCGGTGGGGCCCCCTACGGGACCACGAAACGTCTCCTCCTCCTCCTCCTCCTCCTCCTCCTCCTCCTCCTCCTCCTCCTCCTCCTCCTCCTCCTCCTCCTCCACCTCCCCCTCCTCCTCCTCCCCTCCTTCTCCTCCTCCTCCTCCTCCTCCTCCACCCTCCTCCTCCTCCTCCTCCACCTCCCCCTCCTCCTCCTCTCCCTCCTCCTCCTCCTCCTCCTCCTCCCTCCTCCTCCTCCTCCTCCTCCTCCTCCTCCACTCCTCCTCCTCCTCCTCCTCCTCCTCCTCCCTCCTTCCCTCCTCCTCCTCCCCCTCCTCCTCCTTCATCCCTCCTCCTCCTCCTCCTCCCTCCTCCTCCTCCTCCTCCTCCTCCCTCCTCCTCCTCCTCCTCCTCCTCCTCCTCCTCCTTCTCCCTCCTCGTCCTCTCCTCCTCCTCCTCCTCCTCCTCCTCCTCCTCCTCCTCCTCCTCTGCTCTCCGCCTCCTCCTCCCTCCTCCTCCTCCTCCTCCTCCTCCTCTCCTCCTCCTCCTCCTCCTCCTCTCCTCCTCCTCCTCCTCCTCCTCCTCCTCTCCTCCTCTCCTCCTCCTCCTCCTCCTCCCCTCCCCCACATCCTCCTCCTCCTCCTCCTCCTCCTCCTCCTCCTCCTCCCCTCCTCCTCCTCCTCCTCCTCCTCCTCCTCCTCCTCCCTCCTCCTCTCCTCCTCATCCTCCTGCTCCTCCCCCCTCCCCCTCCCCCTCCTCCCCCTCTCCCCTCCCCCCTCCCCCCCCCCCCTCCTCCCCCCTCCTCCTCCCCCTCCCATCCTTCTTCTCCCTATCCTGCTTCTTCTTCTCCTCCTCCTCTCCACGATACCAAGACCCCCTCGAGTGAAGAAAACGCGATGGGAGGGTTTTCGCTATTGTGGCCACACCGGGCCTCGGAAGTGCAACAAAAACGACGCAGGATGAAGAACGGGTCTCGGGGAAAGGGTCCAGACCTCTGGGGGTCGACGTCATGAAAAAAATCTGGACGTCGCGGGTCTGGGAACGTGTAAGGGGTGCGGGTACCCATGTGAACCTTGCTGCTGGGGCCCACGGTGGAGCCCCCTAGTGGACCACGAAAAATGCGAGGGGTCTGCCACCGGGGCCCTCGGTGAAGCTCCCTATGGGCCATGAGGGGGGTAATTGATACCAAGACCAAAAAACGACGACGACGACGACGACGACGACGACGACGACGACGACGACGACGACAGACCCCTCGAGTCATGCAAAAATCTTGTCGGGAGGTTTTTCGCCATTTTCGGCCCCCTGTGGCCCCTACGGGGCCTCGGGACCGCCAAAAAAAACTCCAGATGAAAAACCGGTCATGGAGAGTGGGCCGAGACCTTTGGGGGTCGAAGTCATGGAAAAATCATGACGTCGGGAGGGGTTGGGGGAACGGAGGACGAGCACAACGACGGAGGACGAGAAGGAGGACGACCGTAAAGAGAGGCCACCGCCACCGAGAACACATCGGGGAGCTCACCCCTGCCCAGATCGTCGGATACATAGCGATGTTTGCTTCGGTCGCGATCTGTAGCGACCGATCTCGGCACACCAAGTCGGTCGCGATTGGTCGCGACCGATCGATCGCGACGACGGATCGGTCGCCACCGATTTTGAAGCAAATCGGTCGCGACACAGGGATTCGAAGCAGAATCGGCAGCGACGGGTCCCGCCGGTCGCGGCCAGAAAGCTCCCCAGATCGCCAACGTCCAGATTTTTTCATGACGTCGACCCCCAGAGGTCTGGATCCATTCCCTGGGACCGGTTTTTCATCCTGAGTCGTTTTTTGACGGCCCCGAGGCCCCGTAAGGGGCCCCCAGAGGCCGAAAGTATGGAAAACACCCCCGTCGTGTGTTTTCATGTCTCGACGGGTTCTGGGTGTGTAGGGAAGAAGAGGAGGAGGAGGAGGAGGAGGAGGAGGAGGAGAGGGAGGAGAGGAGGAGGAGGAGGAGGAGGAGGAGGAGGAGGAGAGAGGGGAGGAGGAGGAGGAGGAGGAGGAGGAGGAGGAGGAGGAGGAGGAGGAGACGCTTCGTGGTCCAACAGGGGGTCTGGGGATCAGGGACGTCTGGTTCCTGGGCCCTCTTCCCGAGCCGTCCGTGGACTTCCCTGCAGGGGGCCGGCCTCGGGAGGGTCCAGGCGCGGCGGCAGGGCGGCCGCCTCGGTGTCGTGCCCAGGGCGCTCCCACGAGGGGCGCATGGAATCATCACCCAGGCCCCCCTCGCGATGTGAAAAGCACGACGGGAGGTGTTTCATGGAGAGGCCCTTGCCGGGCCTCGGGACCGTCGACAAAAGCGATGCAGGAGGCAGATCCCGTCCCGGGGAAGGGCTCTGGACGTCTGGGGGTCGACGTTGCGGCAAAGTAAACAAAAACAAAACAGGAAAAAAAACAAAAAAACAAAAAAAAAAAAAAAAAAAAAAAAAAAAAAAAAAAAAAAAAAAAAAAAAAAAAAACGACGTCGGGGGATCTGGGCAGGGACGCCCCGTGCGGGAGGGCCAGGCCGTGCGCCAGAGACGGGGGGGAGTCGCCGGCGCGCGCAGGCGCGGCGGGGAGCGGCCGCGCTTCCCGGGAATAGGGCGCCGGCTGGGCCTCGGGCCTCGGGTCCAGAGCTGCGTTGCCGAGGAACCTTGGTTCGGGCGAAGAGAACTATGCACATGCACCGATCCTGGCAAGGCCCATCCCTGACCCAGGATCGGTGCATATGCCTTCCTGGCCAAGGTAGGAGGGCGTATGCACCGATCCTGGGCTCAGGATGGGCCAGGCCGGAATCGGTACATGTGCATAGTTCTTTTTCCTCTATTGGTCACTGCCTGCCAGAACTGTCTGGTCGCGACCGGCGAGATCGGTCGCTACCGACGCTGCTTCAGATTCGGGCCTATCGGCCGCGGCCAAGGTGCTTCAAAGATCGGTTGTGATCGTCCGATCGCGACCGGACAAAAAAACGATGTCCAGTAGCCTGGGAAGAGCAGCCTGCCACCATGCCGAGGAATCGCGCGGCCTATCCAGAGCCTTGGAAAATGAACGACTGGGCGCATGGGGCAAGAGGACCTCGACAAGGACCCTCGAAGCTCCCGGGGCCAGGCCAGCCTCGGCTTAGGTCGGGCATGCCCTCCTGCAGGCGGATTTTGGAGGAAAAATCCAAATAGTCTAAGGGTAATACAAAAAAACGTCTAGCAAATATTCAAAAATCGTCCCCTGATTATTTTTCTGCAATTTTTGAATACTCTTTCAGTAGAGGGACACGCCCGACTTAAGCCTGGGCCCGGCCCCCTCCCACCCCCCCCAGCTGGCAGCGAGCAGGGAAGGGCAGGGGGAGGGCGCGGCCGGGCGGCCGCCTGAGAGGGCAAAGGGTGGGGGGCGTCTGAAAGGGGCCAGGGGGGCAGACCCCATCCTCCTCCTCCTCCTCCTCCTCCTCCTCCTCCTCCTCCTCCTCCTCCTCCTCCTCCTCCTCCCTCCTCCTCCTCCTCCTCCTCCTCCTTCTCCCCCTTCTCCCCTCCTCCTCCTCCTCCTCCACCTCCTCCTCCTCCTCCTCCTCCTCCTCCTCCTCGTCCTCCTCCCTCTCCCCTCCTCCTCGTCCTCGTCCTCCTCCTCATCCTCCTCCTCCTTCTCCTCCTCCTCCTCCTTCCTCCTCCTCCTCCTCCTTTTCCTCCTCCTCCTCCTCCCTCCTCCTCCTTCTCCTCCTCCTCCTCCTCCTCCTTCTCCTCCTCCTCCTCCCCACGAGACCCAGACCCCCTCGATTCATGACAAAAGCACGACGGGAAGTTTTTCAATTTGTTCTGCCTCTGGGAGCCCCTACGAGGCCTCGGGACCGTCGAAAAACGACTCAGGATGAAGAACCTTTCACGGAGAATGGGTCCAGACCTTTGGGGGTCGACGTCATGAAAAAATCGTGACGTCGGGGGTCTGGGGGGCGAGGTGGCCGCGTCCTGCTCAGCTTCGACGGCGAAATCTTCGACGTCTCAGCCGCGCGCGACCTGTTCGGGAGGGCGAAGGGGGGGTGGGGGGGGGCGCCTGTGCCGCCCAGCCTGCCGCTGGGTCCTGCGAGGAGGGTCGGCGGAAGTGCTGCTCGCGCGCCCGGGAGGATTTGAGAAACAGAAAGATGCAGTAACATAAACGTTCAAAACATCCGCGCTGATTTCCTGGATCGGCGATGAATCCGTGACGCGCGGAGCGTGCTGCAAAGGGCGCCAGCGCCGATCCAAGGAATCCGCGCGGACCTCCGAAAGTGCATGTTTATATCATGTGCTGTTCGTCGACGGAGGCTACCGGCTGGGATCTTGCATCGACAGCGTGCACGTTTTGTACATTGTGCTTTCGGCAACGTTCAATCGCAATTAGCACTTCCACCTGCTGCTCGCGCCTGAGGGTCCTCTTTGCCGCCGACTTACAAGTGGATGTAGCAGGAAGTTGCTCGAACATGATTTGTTCTCCACAGTGCCCATGCCTGCAGGCTTCTTCGTGGAAGCCGTGCTAGACGAGTTTGCAAGGGTGCGGTTGGCCGTTATCGGTTGGACAGGATTGTGGGCGGTTGGCCGGATGCAAACGTTTTCCGAGGTAAATGTATTCCGCACGTCGCATTGTCTTTTTTGTGGACCTCGCCAACATCGTGATGGCCAGACGAGGGAGGTTCTCGCACGGGGAAGGGAAGAGCATAACATAGTACAATTACCATCCCTTATTTGCAGGTTCGCCGTACACTACGATATTTCCACCGATCGTTTTGTCCCAGCCTTCCTCCGGCAGTTCTCCAGGAAGCCAGCACAGCCTCTTCCCCCCCCCGCCACCTCTGCGCATGCACGAGGCAGCTTGGCTGGCCCAGCGTCTGCTCGCGATGGTGCCGGAAAGCACGCACCAGGATTTTCGTTATTGTTCATCGTGGTCTCGTTGTTGCCCCCTAAGGTGCTCTGCTGCTGCTCCTGGTGGTCTCGCGTCGTGGCGATTTATTGCCCAAGACGGCCAGGGTCAGGAGGGTGGTCACGGTTCGGTCGGTTCGGTTGCGTCGCAGTCGGTTGCGTTCGGTCGGTTCGGTTCGGTCGGCTATTGTGTCGGTGCCGCGTCGCTGCACCATCCTAGGTTGCTTTCGGCCTGTCGAGTTCGGTCGGTTTCCGTTTCGCTGTCGGTTCGGTCGGTGTTCGGTTTTGTTGTCGCCGTGCACGGCCGTTCCGTCCACCAGGCTGGCTTGCTCGGCGAGGGGGGAGAGACGGGGGGAAGGGGACGAAAAAGAGGCGAGGAGAAGGTGGAAGGTCCTGAGGATTGGGACAGTGCCCGGACAATTAATTACCCCAGCAAAGCACCATAATAGCAGCAAAGGGCTTATGGGACCCGTGTGGCGTGTGATCCCTTGAAGATCTGTGGGGCCCCTCGGACCTGAGCGACCTATGGGACCCGCGGGACATGTGGGGCCTGTTGGACTTGTGAAACTTGTGGGGCCTGTGGGAACTGAGGGCAAGTGGGAACTGTGGGACTTGAGCGACCTCTGAGACCTGTGAGACCCGTGTAACCTGTGGGACCTGTTGGGCAGGCGGTAACTGTGGGACTTGAGCGACTTGTGGGACCTGTGGGGCAGGTGGGGACAGTGGGACATGCGCGACCTGTCTCTTTTGTGGTCTTGTTTGCTTTTATTGGCCCCCGCTAGCACAGCGCTATTGGAGAAAAGATGCAGCTGGGACAGGCGCGTGAGCACAGCCATGCGTACCTGTGCGTATTTGTTATACGGGTTCGTGGCCGTCCAGACCACAAATGTCGCCAGCATTGAGGCGAGAGCACGACTCCTGAATAAGGTGTAGGGAAGTCTCAGGCGAAGCCGCCGCCAGACCTTGTCGGAACGGGCGGTCTGGGGTTTCCCGCCCCCCCCTTGTGGGAGTCTTATGCGGTCCTTCTTCATTTCTACTGCACCATCTCACGGAACTCTCGTAGGAAAAAAATGCCCCCACACCCCTCAAAGCAATAGATCGCCCTCGTCCCCGACCCGAAATTGACGGTGTTGGGCGCGAGGCAACGCGCGGTAGGAAAAAAAACGCAGTTCGATTCAGAGTTTACGGGGAGGGGTGCGCGACACATGTGTTATGCAGTGGGGTTGTTATCGTTTCAGATTGTCTTCGCACCACAGGGGTGGACATGTTTGTCCGGCCACTGGAGGGGAGGAGGAGGCGGCCTAGTAGGTCTGGACGGAGCAGCAGCTGCGGCCGCAGGCTGCGGCGTTCTGCAAATAGACGTTTGCATATGCAGTTCGGGAGTGAGGTCTGCCGTCTGCTCCACCGTTCGGTTGGCCCCGTGCTGGAAATTACATTCTGGCTTGAGCCGACCTGCTGAAGCTAACCGACTTCTACCACCCCCGCAGCCCGGTGGCCCTCATCATGCGGATGAGCTGCTCTTTTTGCGAGCTACCATGCCATTGGGTCGAGCGGTGATCCTCAAAGCACAAGGGAAACGTGAGAGATCTCATCCCCGCCTCAATCTGAAGCGTACCACTTTCCTGCCCCCCCGGGCTTCCAACCTCTTTCCCAAGAAGTGGCAGCTGGCCTTGCGGGCCCGGCAGACCGCGAAACGCGGGTCTCGCGAGGTCGACGGCTGGAAGTTTGCTTCTCAATCTCTCTCTCCCCCTCTCACCCGCTCTCTTTGTCTCCGTGTCCGTCTCTTTACTATTGCTATATTATATAAATATATATATATATATACATATATTATATGATATACATATATATATATATATATATATATACACACATATACATACAGGTATCCCAGAGGCCGTATGACCAGAGCCTCCGCGAGTTGCGAGCGCGAGCCCCACGGCCATTCCTGCTTGCCCCCCCCCTGCTCTCGCAAAATACTTGCCCACATCGGGCGGATGATAATGTGTTGCCCTGGTGGCGGCGCCTGCGGCGGCCAGAGCAGCCTCCACCCGCGGTCATGCTCGCGCGGCCCTCTCGGCTCGACCGCTTGATCAGCCATCCCGGCTGGGTCTTCGGCCCGTGATCGCCACGGTCATCGCCATGGCCAGGATTCGGGCCCTGCCCTCGCCTTCCGCGATGCGGGCCTCGGAGGCGTGCTTCTTGGCGGGGCCGCCTGTCCTGCCGCACGAGCGTGGCACGGACAAAAAAAAAAGGATTCGAGCCACACCCTCCGCTCCAGGCGACGATGTTCATCGGGCCCAGGGTCAAAAACTTGCCCTGGGGAAGGGGTCGAGATCTCATGTGGTCCATGCCACGAGCAAAGATGCACCTGCGGAGGAGAGGGTACAGCGCTATGAGACTCCACAGCATCATTGCCAATATCGTTTTGCACCGTGGGGATGCAGTGTCCAGTATGCCTGGTGCTCGTGTCTGCTGAAAGGCGCGATCGTCGTCGATTAACTCCTGATGATCATGCTCTCCTCATCTCCTTCCTCCACTTTCCTCCTACATTGATTGTTTGTGACACGGTCCCCCAGGGATCTCGACCCTTCCCCAGGGCCAGCCTTCCATTCTGAGCTGTTTTTGACGGTCCCAGGGCAGGTAAACTCGGAAGCCGGGCAAGGGCTGCTAAATCCGTGGCTGCTAAAATCGACCTCCTGGAAGTTGTCTTCGTCCTTCCGGGAAGAAGCCCGTTGATTGTTTCGCGTGCCGTGCTTCATTCCGGGAAGTTGTTTTTTCCTTCCTGGAGGGCCGTTTTAGCAGCCACGGTTTTAGCAGCCCTCGCCCAGCTTCCCAGAAACGACCTCAAGAGGCTGAACAAAAGATAGAAGACCGCTTTCGCGATTTTTGTTTGCGTCGCCTGGAAATATAGGTCCTTGATTTGCGTCGCTCTTTAGTCCGTATAGACACCCCGGGCTTTCGGGCTCCTCAGGCCGGCAAGGGCGAAAATGATCACGGGCGACTTTTCAGCCCCAACCCACGAGACCCGAAAAACATTGACCGTTCCCAAAAGGAAGGGAACTCGGGGATACACCCTCGGGGGACTACTCTGACGAATCCCTATCGAGGACGGACGCCCCCCCAAAAGATGCTTCCCACTGAAGGTCCGAACAGATGGGGTCTAAGGTTCGCGTCAGATCGCCGACGCATCGTCGATGTGGCTCGATGTGGAACCCGATGCTCTCCACGCCGACGTTGCCGAAGCATCGCCGACATCGCCGATGCATCGGCGATGTGGAACGATCTTCCGACCCCATCTACAAGCCACAGAGGGTTCCTCAGAAGGCTGGAGACGTCGTCACAAAAAAGGGGGGTAACAAAAAACGAAAACGACAACAACAACAACAACAACAACAACAACAACAGCAGCAGCAACAACAACAACAATCATTGTATGTCTGTTCGCTCTTATCGGCTCGCGTGTCAGTCGATATGCATATCCCAAGCCATGGATACCCGCCCTCTTCGTCTTCGATCGTACCCCCTCTTGGGGGGTAGATTCATTCCCTGCCACGCGTGGTTGGTGAAGCCCTTGAAAACGAAGTGCAACAGATAACGGGGGAGAATGAGGACGAACGGATCGGAGGAAGGGAGGGGAGGGGCAAAAAGGAGGGAGGACGATGATTTGCGCTGCGAGTGGCGATTAAGCTTGCGACATGGCTTGCGCCAGCCACTCCAACACAGGTTAACAATAAGTTCCGCCATGGGTCGCGCCATAAACAGCGCCGCGTACCACCCCTGTGAAAGAACATATCGTGGATACCCCCACGGGGGGACGTACAGCCACGAACTGGTGTCATAAACAAATGTCGTGGAACCTTGAAAAGAAGCGGGATGTTGGGAGAGCGGGCCGGAAGGATAGTGAGAACTGCAACCGTGTCGAGAGGAGCGTGGGGATGTGGAGTGGATTGGGACGGAGTGGACAATAGTATGGTCTCAGGAGGAGGAGCGGCAAGGAGTGGAGAAGAGGAACCGGGAGGAGTGCGGAGGAGCGGGGGGCGCACGGGGGAATCTGGAGGAGGGACTGGGAATAATTTGGGGGAAATGCGGAATGCGAGCGGGAAGGGGTGGAGATCGCTGGGGTGGGATGGGGTGGCCTGGGGAGGAGTGGGCGGAATGCGAAGAACTGAGGAATAGCACAATGGAGTACGAACGACATGAAAATGAAGTTACATGGACAGAGTAGAGAAGATTGGGAAAGACCGTTGAAAAGTGGGGGCTGGTGGATACGAGCGGAGACTGGTGCGGAAACAAGGCGCGGGGGGGGAATTGGAAGGCACCCGAAAGCCTCCGATGACCTCTGGGGGGCCTCGGAATGGCCCCGATGACCACCGAGCAGTTCCAGAGGCCCCGAAAACCTGCGGGTGCGCCCCGGGGGCCTCGTCGAGGGAGGCCTTCATTCGAAGCCTGCAGAAGAACCTGGGCCAGTGGACCACGCGCGTCTCAAAGGCCGGCAAACCAGGCCCCGGCAAGCGGCGGACCTTCGGCCTGGCCAGAGGCAACGCTGGCGATGCACACACCGACCCGCGGCAACCCGACACCAAGATGGACAGACAGCGGGCTCACCACGACGACGACAACCACGAGAGCGCGATTCGTCAATAAATAGTAGTAAGGAAGTATCAGGCGGGAGCCGTTGTTGGCGCGGGCCACGACGGGCGCGAACGAGCGGGGGCCCCGAAGGGCACGCGCATAGGGGGCCGCAGAGGTCAGCGACGGAGCCGCTGAGGGCAGAGACGGGGCCACGAAGGGCAGAGAGGGGGCCACGAAGAGCGACAGCGGGGCCACGAAGTGCATGCACATGGGGCGCGACGAGCGCGAACGAGCGGGGGCCACGAAGGGCATGCATATATGGGGCCAGAGTGGGCGACAGCGGGGCCACTGAGCGCAGAAAGTGGGCCACGATGGGCAGCGATGGGGGCCGCGAGTGGCGACAGCGGGGCGACGAAACGCATGCGCATGGGACCACGAAGGGCGCGAGCGAGCGGGGGCCACGAAAGGCAATTAATCCGGGGCCACAGAGGGCAGCGACGGGGCCGCTGAGGGCAGAAACGGGGCCACGAAGGGCAGAGAGGGGGCCACAAAGGACGACAGCGGGGCCACGAAGGGCACGCACACGGGGCCACGACGGGCGCGAACGAGCGGGGGCCACGAGGGGCATTCGTATATGGGGCCACAAGGGGCGACAGCGGGGCCACTGAGGGCAGCAAAGGGGCCACCAAGGGCAGCGAGAGGGCCACGAAGAGCGACAGCGGGGCTACGAAGGGCACGCATATGGGGCCACGACGGGCGACTGCGAGCGGGGGCCACGAAGGGCATATAATGCGGGGCCACAACGGGCAGCGACGGGGCCACTGAGGGCAGCAACGGGGCCACGAAGGGCAGCGAGCGAAGGCGACCGCGGAACCACTACGGGCAGCGAGGGGCATCGAAGGCGGGCGGAGGGCAGCGAGCGGCGACTGCAGTCCCTAACGGGCGGGTCGAGCGGGCGGGTCGTTGAAACATAAATTCTGCTCGAACCGCCAGGCAATACGTAGCGGGAGCGCGATTCCTGAGTGTCGAGGAGCGGCATCGGAGTAAATTGTGAGGAAGTATCAGGCGGGAGCCGCGATCCAGTGGTAAGTTGCGAGGAAACCCCAAGCGAGAGCGCGATTCTTTAATAAATTGTGAGGAAGTATCCAGCGGGAGCCGCGATCTGGTGGTAAATTGCAACGAAGTCCAAAGCGAGAGCGCGATTCTTTAATGACTTGCGAGGAGGTATCAGGCGGGAGCCGCTGTTGTTGCAAACAGGGGGCGAACAACACAGTTTGACCTTCAAGACTTTCCCTGATAAACAACAGGGTGCGAGCCCCGGGAAGGGCTCTTCAATCGAAAAAAACAGTGTGCACCGGCCGGGGGGGATCAACAATAATTATTTTTTCGTAAATGAGAGTTTAACAAAACTGGGAGGCTCGTGAGAAGCCCCGCCGCCTTCTGAGACCCCTCTCACTCGCCCCCCCCCGGCGCACCGCCGAAGGCGAACACAAGGTCGTGGACCGGGGCCGCCTTCCCCCCCCCATGCCCGGATCATTGGATACCAAATGTGTTCGATCGCGATCGGCAAGCAACGACCGATTGGCACTCCAAATCGGTTGCAACCGATTGCGACAGTTTCCAGAATCGGCTACACTTGGCACAGGAATCTGAAGCAAAATCGGCAGCGACCGATCTCGTCGGTCGCGACCAGAAACTTCTGGCAGCCAACGATCAAGGTGTGGATACTGGCCTCTCGTACCGTTCTAGGTTTGGAATTGTTGCTGCCGCTCCTGCTGCCACAAGGGCAAGGTTGACCCTCAGCTTCCGGGTCGTGACTCGGCCCTCCCGCGGCCGACCGGGAAGATCCGGGCACCCCCAGGAACGCCCGCGGCGAGGCGCCTGAGTTGGAGCGCCCCCCGAGGCTGGACCGGGCGGGGCTGGGACGAGGGACGAGGGCAAATCCGTTCCAGGGCGTTCCAGAGCGCTCGGAGAAGGCCGCGGCGCCCGAGACAGCCTCCAGAGCCGCCCGATCTCAGAGGTCCTCGATTTATCTTCCCCCGATGTTATCCTCGCCCTGGCTTCGTCCTACCCCGAGGCTGGAGAGCCGCCGAGAGCCTCGATGCGTCCACCCCAGCAACGTGCTGCCAGAGCGGATGGAGGGAGGAGGAGGAGGAGGAGGAGGAGGAGGAGGAGGAGGAGGAGGAGGAGGAGGAGGAGGAGGAGGCGGAGGAAAGGAGGAGGAAAGGAGGAGGGAGAAGGGGGAGGAGGAGGAGAAGGGGGAGGAGGAGGAGGAGGAGGAGGAGGAGGAGCAGGAGGAGGAGGAGGAGGAGAATGAGGAGGCCGAGGCAAACCCGAGCTTCAGCGAACACGAGCCCCAGTGCGAGGGAGGGGCGCAGGCCCGACGGCGCGAGAAGGGGGCGGATTATGATGATGAGGAGGAGGAGGAGGAGGAGGAGGAGGAGGAAGGAGGAGGAGGAGGGGGAGGGGGAGGAGAAGGACGAGGAGCAGGAGGAAGACGAGGGCGAGGTGGGGCGCCAGGCCCAGCGGCGAGTACGCCGCGCTCGCGGGAGCGGACGCCACCCGCTGCCTGGGCGAGATGTCCCTGAGCGCCAGCAGCCTGGACGACCTCAGGCGGCCCGCCCCCTCCCCCGACCCTAGGCCTCCTCCTCTCCTCCTCCTCCTCCCCTCCTTCCTCCTCTCCCCTCCTCCTCCTCCTCCTCCTCCACCTCCTCCTCCTCTTGCCCCCTCCTCTTTCCCCTTCCTCCTCATTCTCCTCCTTCTCCTCCTCCTTCCTCCTCCTCCTTCTCCTCCCTCCTTCTCCCCCTCCTCCTCCTCCTCCTCCTCCTCCTCCTCCTCCTCCTCCTTCTCTTTCTCCTCCTCTTCCTCGTAGATGGAGTCGGAGGAGATGGGTTCGGAGGATCGCGCCGCATCGCCAGGGCATCGCCGATGCGGCTCGATGTGCCTCGATGATGCCACGCGAGACAATTTCAGCGTTGTCGGCGGAGCAGGAAACAGGACAGCTCTTGAGCGAAAATGATGCATGCAGGCCCAGTGGCTCCTCGATGTCCCCCTCCTGCACCTCCGCCTCGGTTTCCTCCTCCTCCTCCTCCTCCTCGTCCTCCTCCTCCTCCTCCTCCTCCCTCCTAGATGGGGGGTCCGTAGCCATTTTGGCTCAAGGCTCATGCTTTTGCGGGCTGAGCCCGTATTGGCATTCTCGGATACCGCTAGTCCGCGGCAGTGCCAGAGCGCTTGCGCTCGACAGCTTTTCGCCTTCACCGAGGGGTTGGGCTCCCTCATCAGTTTTGTCGCCACGGCCAGGCTGCCCTCAGGGCCGTGGCTCTCGCCGCTTGTCTCTGCGAAGTCGACGCCGCCATGGCCCCGACGCGCAAGGAGAACGCTTCGCCATGGTATTGCAAGTGGTGCAGGCATGACGTCACGAATCAGCCGTGGTTCAACGCCTCCACCCTTGTGTACTGCAAGAAGTGCGGCCTGCACAAGAGCAATTGTTTCAAGGAGAACAAAGCAGCGTCGCAGCCCAGCGTCTCGGCCAAGCAGCAGTCGCTCGCGGCCAAGGTCAAGGAGCTCGAGGCGCAGCTTGCCAAGCTCCGAGAGCATCCCCCTGGGCAAGGGCCAACGGCTACGGGTACAGGTGCGAGCCCTCCTTGGGCTGCTGCGCCTGGGGATGCCGACACTGTCAAGAGGAGCCGTATCAAGATGCTGGACCAGCTGCTTCGGGTCACTACTGACCCTGCTGATGCTGATATTGTGGCCAAATGGCGTGAGGAGCGTGCTAGGTTGGATGCTGAGCTCTTTCAAGATAGGCCCATTGAGCATCAGGCCAGGTCATTGGCGTCACGACTGTCCTCCGCCCGTGCGCGACAGGCTACCATCCAGGCCACTCGCGACGAGCAGCAGCGGAAGATTGACGAGCTCACCCGAGGCCTGGCCGACACGGACTCCAAGTTGCAGGAGGCGGCTGCGGAGGTCCTCCGCCTCGAGCAGCAGACTCGCGCCGCCATGTCGCGAGTCCAGCCGCCCGAGGGCACCCAGCCACCGACGTTGGCGGACTTGCTGCCCACCTTTGCGGTCAGCGTGGAGCAGCTGGGCAAGGTTGCATCGGGCCTCGGCCTTGGCGCCGACATGGTCAAGGAGCTGCAAGCTATGGCCAACACGGTCAGCAAGCTGCAGAATATGCCGCAGGCCAAGCCGCCTGAACCCGCACCTGCCCCCGATGATGAGGATGGTGATGAGTCTTGCGCTGAGCCACCTGACATCGAGATGTCCGAGCAGGAGTACCGTGAGACGCTGGGTGCAGCAGGGGTCCAAGTCGAGGAGAGCGACACCCCAGACATCGTGCGTGAGAAGTTCAAGCGCCTTCAGCAGAGCTACTTGGACACTGTGGCCAAGAAGGCCAAGACGTCGGCGTGAATGTGCTCGGCTTGATATGCTGTTGCTTTGGCTTTTTGTCACCATGGTTAGCTCCACATCAGCGCAACATGTCGAGAGTCCGCCTCAGTCATCTTCGACGGCGGCCAGCATTCTGGGCAGGGGGGGGAGGGATTCAGCCCCTCATAGTCACACCCCCCTGCCCACATCGGCGTCCAGTTCCATGACCTCGCCTGGCACTACGGCGCCTGCATTATCCCCCCCACTGGCCCGCTCCTCGGGGTGGGGGACAGCTCCGACCCTGACGGTGGCCTCGCCTACTTCGGTTGAGCCTGCAGCTCCGTCCAGGGCGACTACGGCATCACAGAGGGCTACTCCGTCTACGCCTACGCGGCTGGCCCCTGGCAGCACGCACTGCTCACCGACCTCATCTTCGGGGATTGGCGGCAGAGGGTACCGACCGTCCTCGGGCGGCACGCACTGCTCACCGCCCTTGCCCTCGGAGAATCCAGGCGGCAGAGGGTACCGACTGCCAGGGGCCCCACCGGGCCAGAGCGGCCCAGTGTGCACTACTTTGGATGGCGATCATGACTTCTTTGAGGACGTTGAGCCTGACATGGAAGCAGATCTGCGTGAAGGCGCATTTCATGAAGCGCCATCTTCGCCCCCACCTTCTTCCCGATTACGCTTCGAAAAATCAAGTCAAGAACGCGCTGCACCTACCTCGCCTTCGCCGCCAGGGAGCACGGAGGCGAAGGTGCAGCCAACGCATGCAGTATCCCAGCCGCAGCTCAAGGGCCTCATCACAACGGTGAATGCTACGAGCTACGGCCCTCTTTTTGACTTTTTGGCTACCTATCGTGGCACTATCTTGCTGGCACAAGAGTTGAGGATTACCGACTCCAGGCTTGGCGAGTTTCAGGCCAGGGCCTTGGATGCTGGATGGCATGGGCTATGGGCCCCTTCGCCCTCTACGGGGGACTCAGCTACGTCCAACTTCGGAGGGGTCGCTGTACTTGTGCCGACATACATCATGGTCACAGCCCCACCTGATGATGGGCATATTATTTACCCAGGACGAGCAGTCTGTGCACAGATTAACTGGGGAGTGGCAGGCGGCATCATAGTCGCCAGTGTGTATCTCGTCACGTCTATTGGCATATCGGGCGAGAACATTGAAGTCCTGTGGGCCTTGGCACAGAGAGTTGCGGCATGGAACTCACGGGGCCTCGACTGGATCCTAGGTGGCGACTGGAATTCCGACATCGATGCGCTCAATGTTCGCAACTGGGTCGAGACCATGGCAGCCGTCCACTACGTGCCCGACCAGCACACCTGCATCACCGATGAAGGCAAGAGCACCATAGACTACTTCGTCGTCTGTGCCAATTTAGCGTCTCGCATCAAGGGCAAGCCAGAGGTTCAGTATGACTCCACGGGCGTGCCGCCGCCGCATTTTCCTGTGGAGCTGCAGCTCATGGGCGAGGATCGCCCCACGTGGTGCCGTGTCCCTGTGGAGCCACGTCCCTTTGCGGTGGTGCCGCCAGTTGGCTGTGCTAGATATCCCTACCCGTGGCACAGGCTTCGGACAGAGTTCCAACGGGTCAGCTGCACTGACGACCTGAGCTCGCTCTGGGACTCCGTGTTGCGAGGGGTGGACTACGAGCTGGCAGGGCGCTACGACTGCGTGGGTGCTAAGGCCATGCAGTACATCGGACGCGAGGGGCCGCCGCAGTTCAAGTGGCAGCACTTGTCATGGCAGCCGCCACGCAGGCGTACCTACAAGGAGCCGACCGTGCTGGCCTGGGCCACGGCGAAGCGATGGGCCCAGCACCTTGTGGCTGAGAAGAAGCGGCTGGTGAGGTACATCGAGCGCCTCAAGCTTTGTGCTGCCGTATGTGACATCACGCCGCTGCAGTACACTAAGGTCGTAGTGGCTTTCAACGAGGTGGCTGCCTTTTATAGGCGCGCGGCTCGGTCAGAGCATGTGCTGTGTGTCTTGGATGCTGCCTTCGCAGGCTTCTTTCGGCGAGGGCTGATCGGCTTGGTCGAGGCTGACTTTGAGGACGTAGCCAAGACCATCATTGCCGCAGCTGACCATCATTTGAGAACGGCACAAAGAGCGGCAGAGAGGGCCTGGAGGCAGTGGGCCAAAGAAGCCTTCCTGGGAGGAGCATCTCGGGCACATTCGTCCTCCAAGGTTCGGGCTCGACAGGAGGTGCTTGCCTACTCCCACGACGCTCAGCCATATCAGATGGCTGACCGCACGCTCGACAAGTGGAAGGACGTTTGGACCTACCACGGGGCGTGTTCTTTGCCGCTGCCTGTCGATCACGCTCAGTGGCCGTTGCTTCCGCCTTTGACTGCATCGCAGGTGCGTGGGGCCATCAGGAGTTTTCCGTTGAAGACGGCCTCGGGCCAGACGAGGATCGCGCCACGCACGCTCGATGTGCTGTCCGACCAGGCCTTGCAGAGCCTGGCCGATATGTTCATGCTGTTTGAGAGTTGGCTGGCCTGGCCCACGGACAGGCTCTACAGCGAGCTGGTTCGCCTGCCCAAGCCTGACGGGGACACTAGGTTGATCGTCCTCAGCAATACTTTCGTCAGGTTGTGGGGAAAGCTACGTCGGCCGCTTTCGGCGGAGTGGCAAGAGACACACAGGTGCGAGCATATGTGGGGGTCAAGGGCTGGGCAGACTTCGACCGATTCAGCCTTCGACCACAACCTGAGCCAGGAGATAGGAGAACTTTTAGGTGAGCACACATGCACCATTCTCCTGGACATGACCAAGTGCTTCGATATGGTCAGTCACAGTGCACTTCTCCGAGAAGCTAGAGAGCTCGGGTACCCGCTGAGGCTCCTGTGGTTGCTCCTGGGCTCCTACCGTCAGCCGAGAAGGATCAAGTGTTTTGGGTCTGTATCTAGGCCCTTGGTGGCCCATCAGGGTATTCTTGCGGGCTGCACGCACGCCACGTACCTTCTTTACCTCCTCACGTACCGAGCGGTCCAGCGCACGGCCAGCATTGCACCTTCTATCACGCCACGCACGCTCATGGACGATGTGGGTTTGCAGTACGTGTCGCCTGTATTGAGGGAGGTGTCCAACCTGGCCCGCGCGGCCAAGGCGTTTACGTCGGATGCTGGAGATCTTGGGATGGCCCTGAAGCCGCCGAAGTCTGGATGTATCCCTGGGAACCAAAAAGTTTGGGGACAGCTCAAGAGGCACCTGGGAACCTTGAAGATCC